GTGTGTGTGTGTGTGTGTGTGTGTGTGTGTGTGTGTGTGTGTGTGAGGAGTGTCTCCTCTGATCACATCTCAGGAGGCTTCAGGAGAGAAAACACGACTCACCGGAGTCCTGACGTCGAGCAGCTGATGTTACCATGGATGGAGGGCAAACACCTCGCTCTGTGGGGACGCGCACACACACACGCACACACACGCACACACACACACACACACACACACACACGCACGCACACACACACGCGCACACGCACGCACACATACACACCCAGTCTTGATGTGGTCGGCCTCATTAAACCAGAGGAGAACCACATCAGAGGAGGTTTGTGTGTCCACACCGTCCTGAGCTCAGGACCAGTTTCTGTTCCAGAACTTTCCCAGAAGTCCAGAACCAGAACAGGTGGGAAGAACTTGGATCAGCTTCATGAACCTGAAGCAGAACCATCTGGGCTCAAGTTTCTGGTCTGAAAAGCACAACTCCTGACTACACGTCCAACTTTTTACATCCTGTAATGTTTTAAAATAAATGTATTGAGTTTCTGTTTGTTTAAAATCATTTTTATATTCTTCTCTTTGTTGGGAGTTTTGTTTATTGTCTTGACTTTAAAATTTGTTTCATTATTTCAGGGTTTGTTTGTTTGGAGTCTCTTTGTGTTTGTGAATTCCTCAGGGATCCCTACTCGTGTCTTTGTAGTTTGTTGTTTCTGTGATGTGAAAATTTGACCGTGTGTCTTTCTTGTGGTGTCTCTGGTCACCTTTTGTGTGTTACGGATCATGTTAGTCACTTTGTGATTTATTTGTCCTCTCAAAAGCAAACTTTAAACAACATACATGAAATAAATCAGTAGATTAGACACAGGAGAATGAGTAATAAGAGTTTGCAGAGCAGATAAACATGAAACAGTGAAGAATACGTGAAATCTTTATAGTGTTTGTTTTCATGGTCTTTTGTGTCTTTTTCAAATGTTTTTTTATTGTTTCATGTAAAATTTTAAATTATCTATGTTTAAAAAATTAAATATTATTTGAGGGACTCTTTATCTGTAATGTGGAAGTGTTGGCGATCTTTTTTGCTTGTTTTGTTTTACTTGAGTCCTTTGCTGCATCTTCAGCTCATTTTAGGAAGGTTTGTTGTTGACTTCTCTTTGTTTGTGTTGTTTTGTAGTTTTTGTTTTTCCTCTTTAAGTATCATGAACTGTTGCAGAACCACCCCGCACTTTTTCACAACGATATTCAACTTGTTTCTTTGTTTGGATATAAAATAATTTTAAGGTCAATAAGGAGTCTCTGATGCTGAAGTCAGTCTTTCTGTGGAGGATCTGTGTAATCTGCAAACTTCAGCTGGATCAGAGTCACATCACAAACTCACAGACTTTATTTTCTGGATTTATCTGGAAAACATTTTTGTTTATGTTTATTGAAATTAATCTAAAGGAAATAATCGAGTCAACAAAGAACATTGTGCGTCTGAAGAGAGAACCAGCTGTTTCTGATCAAAGTGTTCAACTGTGCAGCTCAAAAGAAATGATTGAACTCCATCATGTGGCCTTGATTATATGCTGCAGGATGTTGGAACAACTATTAGATTCACCTATTAAATGATGCAAACAAATAATAAAAAAATAAACTCAAGCTAAAACTATTCAAAAACTCATATTCTCATATTTAAGGTGTACATTATTCCCATTGTTACTTATCTTTTTCATTAGAATATTGCCAATGTAGTTAATTTTGCTCCTCATAATTGCCTAGTCGTACATTCTTCGTTTTAGGGAAATTAGCCTCATAATTAAATAATTAGGGATAAGCCTTGATGTACAGAACACGATTTAAGTATAAAAAATATGTGTGCAACACTGACCTCTTGTGGCCATAATGTGAAACTGCAGCTTCATTTAGTCCCGCCCACAGATTTTTCTGCGTCTTTCATTGGTTGAAAGGCATTACGTCATTGTCGGCTTGTTTTTCTCTCGACCAATCAACGTTTTGATTTACTGCTACGCTTAAAGGTCAAAGTTGAAGCTCCGAACTGACGCCGCTAAGATTTAAGGCAACTAAACCGATGGATATAACAGCCTGAAAGTGGGAGAAACTTAAAAAAATATTTTATCAAAATGACTTAAATCTCACCGACACAACGCGGAGCGTTCTGCCCGTCGGAAGATGTCTTGTGTGTGGGTTAAATCCGCCACTTGGCCGGTGTTTCTACACAAGGTTGGTTGCTAAGCTAACATTTTCAGTGACGTTTACAGAAAATATAAAGTTTTATTTATTTATTTATGGAGCTAAAGATGTACGATGTGTCTTATCGTTGAGATTAATGTTACAAAACACATTTTTTAAATATATTTTAATGAAGACTGAATAATTTTTAAAACTTTTAGTATCTTTTCAATTAGCAGAATAAATTAATTTTAAACCAAATAAACTGGAAAGCATTTTATTTAAATTTGTACTGACTAAACACTTATTAATGCATCACAGACACGTGTCTAAAACTCCAACATGTGCCTTAAAGTGATTTTAAATGTAACTGTTTTTGTTTTATTCTGTTTTTTAATGATAAAAGAACAAAATGAAGCCTTCCTTCTGTTGCTCTCGGTGACGTCATCATGTTCTTGTTTCTGTGCGAGTTTTCATCTGCACATCTTTGGGTTTGCAGGAGTTCCAGATGTTTACACAACTGTCTAACATTACAGACTCATAAAACTGGCTGGACACTCAGAATGTTCCACCTTAAAGGACTTTTAAATCTGTTGCGTAATAAAAAGTTGTCTGTAGAGTTGTTCCACCTGAGGTTAAGATGTTCAGTCCTGCTTTAGAGCCTGGTGGATATCTGAAGCATTTAACAAATGTTGCTTTTGAAAACAACAAAGTCCATGCTCAATAATCTGAATACGAATAAGACGAAATGTTTCAACAAAAAGAAACTGTCCAGAGGACCTGACTTAACTTTGTTGTTTTTCCCACCTGATTACTGAGCGTGAACTTTGATGGATCAGTATAAATTGTGCAGTGAGCATGTTTCAAACTGCTGGTTGACTAAAACCAACTCTGTTTTCTTCCATTGTTCATGTTGAATTTAATATTTGTGCCGTTGTTCTCTCGGCTCCTCGTCACTTCTCTCTCAGCAGTTCTGGAGACGTCTTCACCGTGGGAACGTTTGCTCTACGTCTGCCAGACCAGAGTCTGCTCCTCCTGCACCTGTGGACTCTGCGTCAGGACAGGACCCCAGTTCCTCCTCACAGTCCCCAGACCCTGGACCCCCGCCCGCCCCCACCTACTGTTGCATGAGCGGCTGCCACAACTGCGTTTGGATCAAACACGCGGAGCAGCTGCTGGCGTATTATCAGGACGGAGGCGACCGAGCGCTCGCTGCCATCGAGAAGAGCGGTCTGGATGAGAACCTGAAAGCTTATCTAAAGATGGAGCTCAAGCTCCTGAAAAAGACGTGACGTTTCCCTCTCGGAGTTTGTGGCCGAGCACTTCATCTAGACCCTGTTCACCGGCTGAGCTGCAACGTTTTCACTCCTCCGTGCGTTGAGAGAGTTCCTAAAACTGGACACGAGCTCCTTTAAAGTTCTTGCTGCTTTTATTTATGTCAAGTCTTTGCTGCTCAGTTTGTCACAAACACATTCGACCAGAGAAGTCCGACGAGTTTAAAGCGAGTTCAGTTTCCACAGTTGGCTCGTTTGAAAATATAAAAACAGCCTTTAAATATAAAAACAGCCTTTAAATATAAAAACAGCCTTTGACATGTCAGAAATGCAGATAGTCTTCCTCACTCTTCATCACTGAACAAAACCTCTTCATTGTTTTTGGTGTGACATTTTGAAACTGAAGCGTTTTAAATGAGTTTGATCAGCTGCTTTGTTGCGTTTGTGAGTGTATTTATTAAATATCTTTAAATTTACTTTTAAATATTGTTGTTTGAGGCAGCACGGTGGCGCAACTGGTAGAGCTGCTGCCTCTCAGCTAGCAGGTCCCTGGTTCAAACCCCGGTCCGGGGACCTTTCTGGGTGGAGTTTGCATGTTCTCTCCGTGCATGCGTGGGTTTTCTCCGGGTACTCCGGTTTCCTCCCACAGACCAAAAACATGCATGTTAGGCTGATTGGTAACTCTAAATTGCCCCTAGGTGTGAGTGAGAGAGTGAATGGTTGTTTGTCTCGTTTGTCTCTATGTGGCCCTGTGATGGACTTGCGACCCGTCCAGGGTGTACCCCGCCCCTCGCACAGTGATTGCTGGACATGGGCACCAGCGACCCCCGTGACCCAAAATGGAATAAACGGGTAAAGAAAATGGATGGATGGATGGATATTGTTGTTTGAATTTATTATATTTGAAGTAGAGGACTTTGTGTTTCCATTGTGGATTTTATTTTACATGCAGAGAAAACCGAGCCAAGGCATTTTCACAACCCTGCAGCCTCCATGTTTAAATAATCCTCCTTCAGTTTATAAATCTCAAATTAAATGTGACCTCGCGCGTTATGTTTAAAATAATGAAGTGCGAGTTGTTCAAACAGGAGCGCGCTGCGGCCACCAGAGGGCGCCATGTGAACAAAACAATGATTTATTTAAACGTTTACATTTGAGTAAGTTCATCTCACGCACCTGAGCTTCACATTTCTTACTGAGAACACCTTTTAGATGCAGTCATTTAAACGTCTTGTGCTTTGGTGAAAGATGAGAGCAACAGAGTGGTGCAACTTCTGCAGTATTGTGGACACTGTGCCGGTCTGTTGTGGTGAAGAGGGAGCTGAGCTGCAAGAATACACACTCTGTTTATCAGTCTATGTTCCTACTCTCACTTGTGGTCAGGAACTGGGTGGTGACTGAATAAACCAGATCCAGGATCCAGGAGGACTAAACTGAGGGTAGCTGGACTCACTTAGAGATCAGGTGAGAGGTTCAGTTCTCCAGGAGAGACTCGGAGAAGAACAGCTGATCCTCCATGTCCAGAGGAGCCAGCTCAGGTGGTTCAGACATCTGGTAAGGATGGACTCTGGACACCTAGGGAGGTGTTCAACTGGGAGGAGACCCAAGACATGCTGGAGAGACTGGGTCTCAGCTGGTCTGGGAACACCTTGGAGTCCTCGAAGATGTCTGGACCTCCATGATCAAGCTGCTGCACCGAGACCTGAACCAGAACCACAGGATGGATGGATTATTCAGAAGCGCTGCACAAAGCGTCATCGATGTTCTGGTGTTCATCGGATTAGGATGACTGACCGAGGCTCGTGGGTCCTGTCCGTCAGTCGTGACTGCAGCCCGGTCCAGGTCCTGACGTGACCCTGATCCTCTGAGTCAGCGTTAGTCTGGTTAGAGTCCTGCTCGGTCCTGCAGTCCAGAGCTGCAGCCGGGATGCTGTGATGTGCAGCAGATTAGAAATGATCATAAACGGTGTGAACTCTCTGACGCCACGAGATAAACTCCACAGATTACCGTTGATGCTGAGGCTCCGTGTGGCGTCATGGCAACGTGACACTGACCCGACACAAGTCTGCAAACTTCACTCCGCAAAGAGCGTCATGGGCGTGAATCAGTTTTAATCTTTTATTTATCAGACCATTTTCATTTGCTTAGCATTTTTTAAATTACAGCATAGAAATAGATTTTGATTTTATACAAGGATTAAAGTTACCGTACGGTTCTAGATGCAGGAATCTTTGACTGTTTTGATGCTCAAAGTCACAGATGGAGATTAAAATGTGAGAAAAACTAAATGTTATAAGTATTTAAAAAAGAAAAACTAACAGGAGTAAAGAGTACTCTGAGTCTCTCCTGATGACTAATAAGAGTCCAGCTCCTGCAGAGGAAACTCATCTCAACCTCCTGGATCCACGATCTCATTCTTTCAGTCTCTACCAGAGTTCATGACCAGAGGTGAGGGGAGGAACGTAGACCGACCAGTAAACAGAGAGCCTTGTCTTACAGCTCTCTCTTCACCACAACGGACCAGCACAGAGTCCACAATACTGCAGACGCTGCACCAATCCATCTGTCAATCTCACGCTCCATTCTTCTCACTCGAGAACAAAACCCTGAGATGCTTGAACTCCTCCGCTTGAGGCAGAACCTCACCCTCGACCTGAAGAGAACAGTCTACCCTCTGACTGAGGACCACGGCCTCAGATCTGGAGGTGCTGGTTCTCATCCCAGCTGAGGTTGTCATTCATTTGTATAGGGACCGAACAGCCTGTAACAATGGCCCCCAATGCCACAGAGCACCCCCCCCACAGTGTTCCCCGAGGAACACGGTCCAATGTCTTCTCCAAGTCCACCAAACACATGTAGACTGGATGGGCAAACTCCCATGACCCCTCGAGGACCCTAGTGAGGGTAAAGAGTTCCTCCTGGATCTGAGGTTCAAACAATGGGACTCACTTCTCCAGTACCCCTGAACAGACCTTACAGGGAGGAGGAGCGGGATTCCCTTATAAGTGGAGCACACCCTCCGGTCCCCGTTTCTGAAGAGTGGAACCACCACCCCAGTCTGTCCAGTGGCACTGCCCCCGATGTCCACACGATGTTGCAAAGATGTGTCAACCAAGAGAGCCCCGCACCATCCAGAGCCTGAAGGACATCGGGTGAATCTCATCCACCCCCGGAGCTTTTCAACGACCTCGACGACCTCAGCCACGGTCATGGACAGACCCCGAAGTCCCGACTCAGTTGGGATGAAGTTAAAACCCTCCCAGAGGTGGGGTTACATTTGAACTTAACTGAAGCAACTTTAAATAATAACACTTATTGTCTGATAAACTTTGCAGCCTGTTTAAACAAGAAAAAGTAAAATTCAGAAAACACAAAAACAAAAAAAATAATCTGTTCCTCACCAGTCAGATTAATCCAGATTACTGATCAGTCCCTTTAGATGAGAGATGTTTGTTAATGTGGCTGAAAGGCTTTGACTTGGTTTTTATGGTTTTACCAACAAGTCCAGCTGCTTCATTTAAATATTCAAAACGTTAAAACTGACTAAAGAAAGTAAAACCTCTGAACCGTTTAAACGGCTCGGCCCGTTAGCTGCAGGTCAGAACTTTATTTCATGCATCAGGACTTTTTGCAGCAGAGATTCACTTTAAGATAAAAAAAAAAAACATGCAGCGATTAAACATTAGATTTTGATCAAACAAACACAACAACAGATGCTAAAGATAAAAACACCAAACGTTGAGTTTCCACTCGGTCACTAATTTCACTGTAAATCAAAATGGCAGAAATATTAAGAAATAATCCTCTAATTTATTATCAGACTGCAAACATCCGATAATTTGTGATCTCTTTACTTGGATTATAAGTTTCTCGCACACAGAAAAAGCTGACGGAGCAGATGGAAGAGGAGCTGAAGGAAAGTTCCTGCAGTTTCTGTAATCTGTGAGAATCTGGCCTAATCTGGCTTTTATCATCCTGCCTCCCACAAACTTCATCATCTTTATGGTGTTGAGAGGAAAAATATCCGTTTGGTCCAATTTACAACGTTCAAAACTCAAAGAACTGACGCGGCGTCGCTGTTTTCAACAAAGACCTCACACCGTCGGACATGGCTCAGAGGACTCTCAGCTACTACCACGTCACACGAGCTCACTGCCTGAAGAAAAGACCGAGTTAAAGGGTCAGATTACCAGTGGCGGCCATCTTGAATGGACCCTAAGGTACCGTCCAGGTCCAGTCCAGTCCTGGTGTCGAGACAAAACTGAATTTAGGGCCCAAATAAATCCACTCATTCAAACTGATGCAGCTAAGAAAACAACTTCCTGCTCCAAGATTCATCTCAGGTCCTCCAACACGACCATCCAGGGAACACGCTCCGCTCACGAGTCCTGGACTCCCAGAACCGTGACGGGTCAGTGACCCAGCAGAGGACGTTCCAGCCGACAGATCTACTTCTGTCTACTTCCTGCAGGCGGGAGTTTCAAACCACAGAAACCTCTCCTCTTCTGGTAACAAAGTCCATGCTCAATAATCCAGGTGTATAATCCAACAATTTTCAGTCAGGTCATCTGGACAGTTTCCTTTTTTGTGCTGAAATGTTTCACCTTCCATCCAGAAGGCTTCATCAGTCAACGAAACACAAAACTGATTCTTCCCCAACAGCTTACTCCAAAGTGGAACAAACCAGTTACGTTGGTGCTAAGATGGTCTCTTCGTCACGCCCCCTCCTCCGGTGCCGGCCCTCTTCCTCGTCGACAGTCGTGTCAAACTGGTTCAAAACCAACAAAGTCCATGCTCAATAATCCAGGTATATAATCCAACAATTTTCAGTCAGGTCATCTCTTTTCTGGTAGTTTTTTTGGGCAGCACGATGGATCAGTGGTTAGCACTGTTGCCTCACAGCAAGAAGGCTCTGGGCTTGATCCCCACTTTGGACCTGGGCTCTTTCTGTGTGGAGTTTGGTTTCCCCTCACAGTCCAAAACGTGCTTGTTAGGCTGCCTGCAGGCCCGGAGGACCTGGGACATACTGAGACTCTGAAAGTTTTATTCTAAAGTTTTAATTTCCTGGAACCTTCAAGTCGATTAAAGTTTGAAAAACAGACGAGTCGGTCACTGAAAGCAGCAACAAGACGTGAAGTAAAAACCTCAACGGTCCTTCAGGTTTGGACCCGAACACGTGACCGTTTGGGACGAGATGGGAGGCGGCACAGTTCGTAATCCTGAACCTGGTTTATAAAAGCGGCCCCGAGTCTGGAGCGGTGAGCCGGGCTCAGGAGTCCACCTGTTAGACAGAGCGGTTCTGTTCATCGGGCTGATCTTCATCCAGTCAGCAGGTGAGTAACATCATCATCATCAGGAGGAGGTTAAAACTTCAGCAGATTTTATTATTTTACCTGCAGAAAGTCTCAAATAAGTTCATATAGACGGTTCATGTTCTTGACTCAGCTGTGATAAATACTTGATTTGTTTTCCTCCCTCAGACTCTTAAAACAGTTTGATCAGGACAGAAACTCGTCATTTTCTCTATAAACATAGAACATCTATTTAAAAAGTTTATTCTGGCTTTGAGTTAAGAAAAACTCAAAATAAAACTTCTTGTTCAATCTGCTGCTTGCTTCACTGAATTATTTAATATATGTATATTTTATATATCTTAGTCCAACATTAGTCCTCAGTGACATTAGCTAATCAAATGTTTTGGTTTCATCTTGTTTTTAATTCATTTATTCCATTTATTTCTGTGAAGTGTTTGTAAAACAGCGCGCAGGCCGAGTGTTGTCTGTAAAAAGCTCACAGATCCTAAATTCAGAATATTTTAAGATATTTTGTGGATGCACAGAGTGAAATACGTTGTTGCCTCGTCTAATCCAAAGCTCGTTGACAGATTAGGAGTTCTGAGCAGGTCCTGTTTTGTTGTCGGACCAAACATCCGTTCAGGACGGTCTCTGTCTCCGGGACAAACCGAGCCCTTTGTTTGGACGCTCAGCACTTCTGCCGTGTCGTCTTTTCTTTAACGAGATTACACGAGAGGGTGAGAGCTTATTAACTCAAGCTGGGGATTATGGGAAACTGGGACATGTTTGCTGACCCTGCTGGGTCAGGTGCGTGAGAGGATTACAGGAGATGATGTCACACAGAGGTGACCGGAGCTGCAGGTCAGATTTACAAACCTGGAAAGTAAAACTTTATTATATTTCTTTCCAAACTGCAGGTTTGAGGGCGGCGTTTCTAACCCGGCGCTCTGCACACGCGTCTTTTATAGCAGCTCAGAATGAATCTCGAACCTCCCAAACCTGAGATCAAGTCGGCCACGCGTGTGACCGGCGGCCCTGCGACCCCACGCAAGGGCCCGCCAAAGTTCAAGCAGAGGCAGACCCGGCAGTTCAAGAGCAAACCTCCGAAGAAAGGAGTGCAGGGGTAGGTCTCAATTAAACCGCTGGTTTTCAAAATAAAAGCAGGTTTTAGGTTCTTAATCTTTGTTTCTGTTTGCAGCTTTGGTGATGATATCCCCGGCATGGAGGGCTTGGGCACAGGTGAGTTTACGTCTGGGTGTAAAATATCAGTTTTTGGGACAATCCAAGACCAGGACAGGTTCACATTTCTGTCCTCCTCTGCAGATATCACCGTCATCTGCCCATGGGAGGCCTTTAACCACCTGGAGCTGCATGAGCTGGCCCAGTACGGCATCATCTGAGCCTTCCCATGGCTCCAAGAGACCCTGTGAGGATTCCAGGCCGTGCACTTCAAAACACCTGCCTCAGGCTCCGCCCCTGATCAAAACACCTGCCTCTGGCTCCACCCCTGATCAAAACACCTGCCTATGGCTCCGCCCATGATCAAAACACCTGCATCAGGCTCTGCCCCTGATCAAAACACCTGCCTCGGGCTCCACCCCTGATCAAAATACCTGCATCAGGCTCCACCCCTGATCAAAACACCTGCATCAGGCTCTGCCCCTGATCAAAACACCTGCCTCTGGCTCCGCCCCTGATCAAAAACCTGCATCAGGCTCTGCCCCTGATCAAAACACCTGCCTCGGGCTCTGCCCCTGATCAAAACACCTGCCTCGGGCCCACCCCTGATCAAAACACCTGCCTCAGGCTCCGCCCCTGATCAAAACACCTGCCTCAGGCTCCGCCCCGATCAAAACACCTGCCTCAGGCTCCGACCCTGATCAAAACACCTGTCTCGGGCTCTGCCCCTGATCAAAATACCTGCCTCGGGCTCCGCCCCTGATCAAAACACATGCCTCAGGCTCCACCCCTGATCAAAACACCTGCCTCTGGCTCTGACCCTGATCAAAACAC